AAATCCTATACCCTGAATTTGGATATACAGCTTTCTAAACAGAAAATAAATTCCTGTTTGATAAAACTCATGCCTTTGTGGTATCTGCTATAGCAACAATAGGTAACTAAGGCATCTTGTAGGAGATAAAAGGAGAGAGAAATGAGTAAAGACTGCCACCAATAGAGAAGAACTGAGAACAAAGCATGTCCTTTGGACTTGGAGTTCAGCACTGAGAACCTTCAAGGCCCAAGGAAAGATTGATGCCATACCACATGAATATGACCAACGGTAGAAGACAAGGATCAACCTTCATAACTGGCACACAGAGAAAGTCCTCTTCTAAAGCTTATGCTTGAATTCTGGCTGATAGCCTGCTAAACTGTGAGAAAGTGAGGAAGATATTCAACCAGGTGGACTAACACAGAGACTGCAGGAATGGGCTCAAGCGTGTCAGAGATTGTGAGGATGACACAGGATAAGACAGGGTTCAGATCTGTTGTTCATAAGGTTTGTATGTGTCATACTTGACTCAATGGCACATAAAAACAACAACAGAGAATAAATTGATGCTTGTTTAAGGCATCCACTTGTAGTATTTCTGATGTTGCAGGACGAGATAAATGACACAAAGTAAGTAGCAGTAAGAATAAGTCATAGTATCAAAATACTGGAGTTTCTAGTATGATTGATATACTAAAGAAAGTGAGCAGAACAGGAAACATGACTAGCTAGTGGGATACAAGAAACTAAAATCATGAGGATGTCAAGATGTCAATAACCAATGCCTTACATAATCCATTATGTGACAATAACATATTTCTCTCTCTCTCTCTCTCTTTCATTATTAATTTCAATGAACATCTACAGAGATTTTGGAATTCCATTTGACAATAACATATTTTTTTAAATAAGGTTTTTCTTTGTTTTAACATAAAGATATCTTCTTACCTCTGCTGAGGAAGGTTGACTTGGATTGACTGATACATTCCTCAGTTTCTCAATTGAGTAAACATCAGATGGAGCCGTGGTTTTCTTTTTGTCCTTCACTTGAGCCATAATCAATAATAAAAGCTACAACAGATTTGTTTTCTTGTTTAAGATATAACTCCAGTTATTTCTGTTCCTAGAATCATTCAAAGGATGGAAAAAAATTAAAAAAACAAAAATAATAAAACATTTTAAAATAAAAATTTAGAAACAAAAGTAATATTGCTAGGGTCTGTCAATTGAAAAGGAAAGAAATTCCTTTTCTCTTGCTTAAAAAGAAAGTTAACTACACATATTGCTTTATGAAAAGTAAAAATACACCTGCAAAAGTATATTTTTATTGTTATTGTTATGTTCCAATGAGTTGACTGGGATTCACAGAAATCCACAGAAATAGCTTTTAATCCTACTCAATCCTGAGCCAACCTCACTGCCTGTCACACCTCCCAACTGCTACAGTCATTATGTTAATCCATGTCATCCAGAGTTTTCCTTTCCTGTGCTGTCCCTCTACCATTCCAAGCATGATGTTCTTCTTCAAAAACTAGTCCCTTCTGGCCACTTGGCCAAAGTATGTGAGATAGAGCTTCAAAATCCTTGCCTCCAAAGAGCAACTTGGTTTCATCTTCTCTTGGACAGATCTGTTTGTTCTCTTGGCTGTCCATGGTGTGTTCAATACTCTTCTCCAGCACCACAATTCAAAGGCATCAATTCTTCTTAGTCACTGTCTAGCTCTCTGATGCATAGCAAGTAATTGCAAAGACTATGGCCTGGATCAGGCACACCTTAGTCTCTAGACAGACATTATTGTTCTTTGGCCCTCTGGAGATACCCCAACAGCAGACTTTTCTAATGCAATTACTCTCTTGACTTCCTGACTGCCGGTGCTAAGAGTGTTGACTGTGGATCTAAGCAAGCTGAAATTGTTAACAATCTCAATCTCTTCTCCATCAATCATGGGGCTGCCAATTGGCCCAGTGGTGAGAATCCTTGTTTTCTTGATGTTGAACTTCAATTCATATTGA